ATTCATTACGATAAAAATACTGACCTTCGAATGCGCTTTTTCCCGTACGTCTCCCAGAAGCACACTCGGTAACAACTGGCGACTTAAGTAACGGGTACTTTCCCATTGATTTCGGATGTCATTATAAGTTCAAATACATTTTGCCGAAAACAGACAAAAATATACTTTTCTTGAAGCATTTGGTGGCAAGCCACGACCTCTTCAAATTTCATACGCGATGTAAGGGTATCCTTCGGTTTGAAAAAAGTGCAAATATAAGACTTTAAGACCGTGAAACGTCTACTCAAACAGTATTGTACCTGCCTGTTTATTAATGCTCCTTATGGAGTATACGAGACTCGCATCCACTAACAAATTTTATGAGCACTAAATAGCAACATTTTCAGCATAGAGGAATATAAAATCTTCCCTACATGGAAAGTACACAGCTTTCATTATGAAAAGGCTAAATGCAGGCGCAACGGCAGGCGGACTCAAGATACTCAGAATTAAAAAGTGCTTCAAAACCTGCAGATGTTTTACTTCGCGTGTGACGCTCGATGAATACGTGATTTACTGCCAAATGAGTGCATGAAAGTATGTTGTTATGTACGATTCCTAAAAAAAACTGCATGTATGAGGACACGAAAAACCACTGGGAAAACTCGTCAGTCCTTATCGAGTGTCCTTACAGACGCCCGGGCAAAAGCGTATTCAAAAGTCGGCATTCCGTCGAGATTGTAATACCTTAGATTCATAAGACATAATAGTCATTATTACAACCCCATCAAAGCAATCATTTCTAATCGAAAACATACTTCAGAATTTCGATTAACATTTTGATGAGACACGTCACCTATTGTATACCAAGGAGCGGACCCGCAAGCAAGGCAACATATAAGCGCAGACGAAAAAACGATTTCCCGAATATCGTTAGATCTTATCTCAAAGTTTCGACCACAGATACTGTCAAATAGTCAGTCATGTCAAAGTCAGTGATCAGAAGTAATTTTCATTATTCCACCTAAGCTACTGGCTTGGCTTAATTCTGAGTATTCGGCAACATGATGGACGACAGCCGCCACTCACCTAATTACCCTCCCTTAGAGGTCACTTTCCAAGTCGATGGCTCGGAAATTTGTAACATGTTCTCCACTACCTGCGTGGAAAAGTGGTTTATGGCGGAACTGTAAATGTAAGACCGGAACAACAACACAAACCTGGGTTTCAAAAGTGTCTTCTGTCCGTCCTTTTTGACCCTTGAATTGTGTTTCCTTGCTACCCCATCCGACGCTCACCAGGTGCTCTGAAATCTCAGATGACTTTTGTCAATAAACTTACGAGAATCACTTGTGGTCTGCTTTAGGTCAATTTCGCTCATGATCTCGAGGGACGAGCTCAAAATGTTTATTTTTTGGTCATCTAGAAAAGGAGTTTGTGAGACACTGCCAAAAGTTTACCTGTCAAAACAACCCCAACTGAGAGATCTGGTGAGAATGTTGCACAAACAATTCGAGTTTCGAATTCACGATCGTCTAATACCTATGAATACGTAATACAATATAAAAGTGGGAAGGACGAAACCTGATCGGGAGTATGTATGAGGGAAATTGAATGCTCGAATTGGAGGCAAACGCATGGAGAATTTACGTAAACTATACGTTTTACACCAGTCAACGAGCACCTCTGAGTGAGTTCTCCTGTAGCAGGGCAAACGAGAAGTCCTTCGGAGGTCGCGACCCATATGTCCCCAGTGAATTTGTCTATTTGCAAATCACAGCAGTTGTTTCGGTCGGAAGAATGCTCGCAGTACAACAGACACTTTAAATCACGCATTTGAAAGTGTCAGTATGAGTTCGCCACAGATTGCCAGTCCGATAAGGTACCTGATGAGTCTACACAGAGGAGATGGATGAGTTAGGGTTGTTTTTTAAAGTAACTTCTGCGAGTGAAGCAAAATGAGGAAAGTCATTTTAATTCGAAATCTTTCAGCCATCGCACAACTAATTGTCTCGATCAAGAGTGGTTACACCGTCTGTAGTCGTACAGGCCAAATACGCACGCGATGGCCAAATGCGTATTGCTACTGCGGCCTCTGATACCGCACACAGACACCTGCCGGGAACCCTTGAAGTTCGAAAATTCGCTGTTAGGGTGCCAAATTTCAATCTTCCCGGCTAACTCCAGTTGGCTCCAGAGTCCACAGTGTGACCAGCCAGTGCGACCTATGTCCTGAAATAGTTGGCAAGATTACTAGATTATGCTGCCCAGTTGGCGTCCCAATCCCAAACAGTGAAGGCCGTCCAGCCTGACCATCTCTATTGATTTTTTATTTACTAACTCTGTCCAATTCTTTGTCTGGTTACCATAGTGGTAACAGCAAATCGGAAATTGGTTGTGAGTCGTGACGTGGCGGATAAACCTGCCTTTGGGTCGGTAGGATGCGTGACAGGACGGCAGCCTTTTAATGTGTCACCAGAAGATGTACGCGGTCGGCGAGAGTTTCATGCACGAGACTGGCTGTGAGCCTAAATGGCAGTAGTCTCCAGAAACATCAGTTCTCTAACACGTTGACCTTCTTCACTTCGGGAGCGCGTATGTGTCACATCTTGCGGTTGTGGAGCGAAATGGCTTTGGGCGTTGACTCACAACAGTATTTTTAAGATAACATCAGTTTGCCAAACTCATGCCACGAAAATAACGATAAGTAATTGTTAGTGCATGCGCTAAATATATGACAGACTCAACGTCAACCGAGGCTGCATATCATTGAGAAGAGTAACATTGTGCGTAACGCACAAGTAGCTTAGAGGTCTTTTTTAAGACCATAATGGTATCTCCTCAAAACGGAGATTACATGGTCTATAGTTCTCGCTTTCAGTCTATGAGGAGCGTGTTTGCTGGGTCGAACATCGACCGCTAGAAAATATGACATTAGCCGTCCCACACATTATAGTCGGTCAGACGGTGTGAAGTCGGCGGACGGACACCATACGAAAAGTTTGGAGCAAATTGCCAAAGTAAGGTGCGAGGACTCAGGTACTAAAAAGTGATTTAATGCCTCCGTTAAGTAACTAAATAGAAACATCTGTTTAGCCCACTTCGTGATAAAGCCGAATAAAAATCGGGGGAGGGGGGGGGGTAGTGGGCACGATGTTGTGGTTGTGGTATGTACGCCTTATATGTATTTTGATACATTTGCCACATTAGACGCCCATGACACGAGACACAGTTGCACCCTGAAAAGCCTTGAAGTGTTTTATACACAACTAGGATAACTGCTGCTAACGACGCAGGCGTCCAAACAGCATATTATACGCGGCAATCACTAAATTAAAAATTGAAA